AGATCTTTCTGAATCTGAGCAATGGTTCCTGGGCAGTTCATTTTCTGTAACCAGGCTGCACTGTCCTCCAAAGGACAGTCACAGTTCTCATGGTAAACCGGCCCTGTTTATACACAAAAAACAAAGTACAAGAGGGAAGATTTTACTCAGTATTTGACACATCTAACAAATACCCCAAATGCAGGCTTCTTGAATTTTGACTAGTGAAGTAGGAAGGCATATGGATTGAAAACATTTTAAAAGAAATACACTTTTATTACATTGGGGCATTCTGAATAAGTTGGCGTTCTTCCTGACAGCTCTTCAACATGAACTCCCGTGACATCTTCAYGTTCAAGTCTACTTTATACAAGTTCAAAAGAAAGCTGATGGGTTCTAATGTGTCCTCTACAGTGGATATTAYAGTTGGTTGCTCTTTATGTTTGGGGTACCGAAGAATCTCCAAACATTAATAAAAGAATTTTAGAGGAAGACACCTGCTTTAGTGAAGGACAAAAATCATAAGAATTAATWTTTCAAAGATCTGTTATACAAATGAGTTCCTAAAGTTTCTAAAGTACTTTTCTCAATAGGCAAAACATCATCAAAAACAACAAAAGTAAACAAAGAACCTCTGCTATTCTTCAAAAAAAAAAAAAAAAGAAATGCAAAGTTGCAAAGGTAATCCTCAAAGCAGTCTATTTCATTAATATTATGATGAGTTAATTACACGTTTATAGAAATAATACTGACATCATGTAGCAGAATCTGAATGGATTTTTACTGTCATTACTTTCTGTAATCCTCGGACTCCCACCTGATTCGGGGAGGACTGAGAATGCAGTATTTTTTTAAAAATATTTTCTTTGGTTGTAGATGGGCACAGTACCTTTATTTTATTTTTATGTGGTGCCAGGGATTGAACCCAGTGCCTCACACTTGCTAGGCAAGCGTTCTTCCRCTGAGCCACAACCCAGCCCTCAGTACCTTTTTTTTAGGTTTGGCAGGTTATTCRGTACCACATGGTCCTGATGGGAGGCAGGAAAGGAACTTAGACGTTTAAAGAAACGTTACCTTTCTTGGGATGTTTTTGTTATATACAATGCTTCCCCAGTGTTTTGGGGTCCTGCCTCCTCTGAGAGGGAACGGCCTGGGTAACAGATCTCATCCTATATTACAAACCACCAGAAAATTTCCCTGGAAAAATGGCATTGGAACAATGACAAAAAACAATAGTCAACCCCGCCTCTCTGCGTTAAGCCATCTTCCTTCCTAAAGTGGTCTATTAAGTTTCAATAACTCTTATCAGTTACATAACATCTTCTATCTCCAATTAACAAAATAGCATATAGGATCATATATATACAGCTTGATTATTCTTGCTAATATTATGTTTTCAGACAGCAAATTCTCTAATTATGTTCCTTGCTCTTTAGCAAACTACAWTTTCTACTCGTATCTTGAATTTCTCTCTTTTACCAAGACTCCGACCTTATCTTTCAGATAGGACACATTTTTTGTCTTTCAGTGAAAAAAAAAAATACACCAAGTTGTCTTGTAGATAGAATGACATGTATTATTGTGTACAGTACTATTGTTATAAAACTCTGTTCCAAATTACCTTTTAAAATATATGGAGATTTGGCTACATGTTGACCTTGGAATTTAACTTCTACCTTCAGATTTTTGTAGCTTGCATACATTCTGTATCTCACTATGAAGGATCCATCCTTCCGGTCTAAAACCTGGACTCCAACTCTTGTGAATTGCTCATCTGGTGCTGAGATTTTAACCTGGAACACCTTTTCACCTGGAGWAGATGTGAATCTGTGATGTGAAGAACAATGAGATACAGAGATTATTTTAAGGAATAAGCAACAAATGATTATGCTCTTCAGTCAGTAAACTTTTTCTGTTCTCCACATTCTTCCTCTAACATGCTTGCTTCTTCTCTTTCATGCTTTCAGTGCCAGAATGAATATGATGGATCAACAATTTAAAAAATAAAGAGGAAGACAATAATGAAAATAACATATAAGTTTCATTAGGGCTGGGATTGTGGYTCAGTGGTAGAGTGCTTGCCTAGCATATGTGAGGCACAGGGTTCAATCCCTAGCACCACATTAAAAGAAAAAAAACTAAACAAAATAAAGGTATTGTGTCCATCTATAACTAAAAATAATTTTTAAAAGTTTCATTAGACATTGACAAAGGGATATGTTAAGATTACTGATGTGTGAAAGTATACAAATATTTATAATTCTATAGATAACAGTATCAGTCTGCTATTTTTTCATGTCTGTCACATCAGAAAATCTGTGATCAAATGGTGTGCCTGCAAAGATKACCTTATTTTGAAAAATAACTCTCAGTGAGTCTTAAAAAATATCAGAATTATAAATCATGCCCAGGTGTGGGCAAAAGCAAGGTAGGTAGTATACCATCTTTGTAAATAAAAGTGTTTGTGGAGTGAGTGCTCCTGGAGTTGAGTTGGTATTTGTTTCTCCAACTGTACTATTTATAGCCAAATGACAAAATTTACAGCCTTCTTTTTCCTTGGAAAAATCCCCCCCTCCCCAGTTCTGGGGTTTGAACCCTGAGCCTCACACATGATACGTGAGTGCTCTACCATTGAGCTACACTCCTAACCCCTGGAAAATATTTTATTCCTAATATATTTTTTATAAAATATACATAAATATAAGTTTAAAGTATAGAGTTCATTGGAATGAAACAGATTTCTGTTACACTCATATAGGAGTTTTGTACTGCCAAACTTTTCCTCTAAATTCTAAAATGTTAGATAGTAGGTAGTTTTTCTTCTTGGGTTTTAAAACATGCTTACCTGCCCATGTCTACCTGAAACTCTAGGGCAGCACCACAGAAAGCTGAAGCCAATCAAGTTTCTAACAACAGAACTTAATTCCTTACAACAGTTTATGCAAAAAGTAGTTCGAAATATCATTACTAGCAAAGAGTAGGAGCTTTGTTTTGCCCTGATAATGCGGGAATACTTATCAAAACAGTTACGAGAAGAGCTATTATTATATTACATATTGCAATTCCTAATTATTTCTAAAGCTACAGAGAAAAGTTGACTGGGAAGGGGAATCCAGATGTGCATAGCATCCAAATATCCTGGAGTAAAACTGCTGTGGAGAAGCGAGTTTTGGGGTGGATGAGAAACAAAGGAAGAAACAAAAAGTCTTAATGCAATCCCGAATAGTTGAAGAGTGGTTTCTTGACTTACTTATCCCCTGATGTATCCACCGCCTGAATATAGAAATAGCGGGCGGGAAGGACGACATCTGCTTTTAGTCCAGGTCCCCATATTTCGCTSTTCTCTGGGCTCAGTCGCCTCTCTCCGCCGGTCTCGGCAAGTGCTGGAACCGTCCCCAGAAAAAAGCAGTAAAACAGCAAAATGCTGAACATTTACAAGTCGGACTCTCGAGATGATCCACGGATAAATGCAGACGTGTAAGAAGGGGACGACACCAGCGGAGACCTGGGCAGCGGCACGTTGGTGGGTCGCGGCGGCTAACGCGGCTCCAGAAAGTGTCCTTTAATGTGCACGGCAGGCGCTTGCTGGACTCTCCACGTCCCCACAAAGTCACAACCGAAGCGCTGGCATGTCCAGGGAAAGGATGCCAGTSGTTCCGCTGAGACCGGCAAGAACCGCGCTGCGTCTCTTTCTTGGGACAACTATAAACTTGTGCTATTTTTGCTGTTGGAGCATCATTTGGGGGGCGAATCCGTTCCAGGTTCCAGCTAAGATACAAGGCRAGAGGATTGGCCTGCGCGCGGGGCCAGGCTGAGTAAGGGCTTCTCCAAGTGGATGGCAGAGTGGACACGCGGCCCGGCCCCCCAGGCTCCCTGGGATATGTAGTTCGCGGCAGGACTAGCGGAAATCCTGCCAGGTTCTTTCTTTCTTCCTTTTCTCCCCCTTCCTCCCTCCTCCCCCCCCCTTTTTTTTTAAACCAACTCTCATCCATAATTTACTTTTTGGTTGTGGCTTTCATGGAACAGATAAACACTACAGATGTCCAATAGAGGCGCACAAGGGTCTGGAGTCACAGCTAAGATTTTTAATTTCTTTGGTCACCACATCCTCAGCACGTGCAAAGGTTAGCTATAAAAGAAGGGGTGAAAGGAAGGTGTTGTCACTGATGTCTGACGACCTGTGGCCGGCCGTCGCAGTCCAAAGTGCTGTCCTGGCGCGCTCCGATGGGACCAGAGACACCAGCCCCAGGGTAACACGAGGCGCATCGCTGGCGGCGCGCTGGCAGCTGTGATCCAGGTCCGGCGCGGGGCTCCACCAGTGCCGCAGCGACCCAACCCGGCTGCACTGACCAGAGGTACACGGGGGAGTGGGCAGGAGCCGAGGTGACCTCCAGCAGTGAGCCCCGCACACCTGGCACTCCCGGGGGCTACTCGGGGTACAACGACGGGGCCTGCTGCYGCCCGAACGCTCTAGGAGCCTTCATCGCCTCCCTGGCTGAGAGAGGTCTAGCCTCTCTGGAGTCCTGTCGCGTCCGAATGGACTGCATTGGTGCCTGTCCTTCCTGGAAGGAGTAGGGTCGCAGAGGGAGAGAGAAGCACCAGGGGTAGAAAGGACGAGYCCTCTCAGGAACAAAGCTCAATTTGGAAGTGCCCAATAGACACCGGTGACCCCTATTCAGCTCTGGTCTCCACGCCACGCTCGGCAGGACCCGGGGCACCCAGCTCGAGATGGCGGTCCCCTCCCGCTGCGCGCCCGCACCGGGCCAGGGCCGCCAAAGTGGTGGCGGGTGCGCGACCAGGGAGGCCTCAGGATCAGTTGGAAACCGGGCTCCGCCCCCTCTGCCTGTCTCCCTCCCTGGAYCCTTCTGAGCTACCCGAAAACCCAAATGGGTCGGTGACTCAATGCGCCCAGGCGGGTCTGGTTGGGAACCAAGGCAGGGGGTTCTTCTGTTTTTCGCTATTGTCCTTAGGAACATAAACTCCCATTCACACCCGGAACCCGGGGGCTCTGCTGTTCGCCCGGGGGCAGTAACTGTCCGCTTCCCATCCGCCCCGGAATCTTTAGCCCAAAAGTCCCAGGGTCCCCGGACAGGTTCGTGACGGTCACTTCGGGCCTCCGCGCGCTCCCCCTTGCGGCAAACCACGTCTTCCGGCTCCGGAGCCAGGGAGGAGGGAGCCTGGAGGCGAGGAGGCCTGTGCCGTCCTCCGCGGGTGCGGAGACCCGGGCCGCCGGGCCTCGGTAGGTGCGCGGGGCGCGCGGGCGGTGGCCGCCGMGGGAGGGCGGTGGCACTGGCGCACCGCGCTGCCTCTGCACACACCGGCTCTGCGCGGCGAGCACCGGCCTGCGTGACCGTCGCCGTGGTCCCAGCGTTCTCCCAGCCCCGCCGAGCTGCGAGCGTCGCAGAGGAGGCGGCGGAACACGCGCGGTCTCTCCGGGAGCCTGGCCCCGGCGCGGGCGCAAGGAGTCCCGGTATCCTTTCGTAGGCCGCCGGCCTCTGCGTGGGGAGGCGGGGTGTGATCGCCGGGCTGCAGCGGTGGGGAAGGCACCAGGTGGGAAGGAGAGACCAGGCTGGGTCTCGGCCCTTCTGGTCTGGCCCTTGGGCACGTTCAACCCTCAATAAGTCCCTTAACTGCCCCTGCGTCTCAGTTGCCTTCCATACAGGGTATAGATCATAGTCRTCGTACATGGAAGGCTTTACGGAGGAGATTTTAGGGATGTTTAGTTCTCGAGTAAACTTGATACTGAAGAACACGGATTTAAAATATAACTTGAAAGGAATATAACCTGATCAATGAATATTGGCTTTACAAACGGTATGTTTATTTTAAGAACAGTGTTCCCATGGCTTTTACAAATCATTATCCTTCGGATGCATTCAAAGCTTGCCATTTCATTAAATTTTGCTTGGCATACAATTAAACATTTCTGTTTCGTGTGACATGATATTATGAATAAATCATTAGATCCTGCAGTCATTCTTATTAGTAAGTTTTAATACATCTATGCCTCACATATTTGGATGAGGGCACCTCCATCAAAATGAAGGCTTACAATAATGCCTGGTGGATGTAGCACATCCAAACATATATGTTGAACCAGACTTCTACAGCTATTACGTTCTGGGGATACAACAGTCAGGAACCAGGCTTGCATTAGGCAGAACTTTATCATATGAAAACACACACACACATAAAAGCATATACTCTCGCAYTAATGTACAGTTACACCCTGGGAAGACCTGTGCAGGAAACCTACTACCCCAATATGTAGTGGGTGATCTGGCCTAGTTTGAGGAGCAAAAAAAGCTTCCCCAGAAAGTGACCTGTATGGACATTTGAAAGATGAATGGAAATTAATAAAGGAGGGTATGTGGGAGGGGAAAGCACCACAGAGAACCAAAAAGAAGTATGGAGGTGGCTGGTGGGGGGGGGGGGGTTGTGAGGAAGAGCTAAAGTAATACATCTGTGGCCAGATGGGGAGTTGGCCTTTTGTTCCTAGAGCAGAGGGTTTTAGGCAGGGAAGTTCTATGATCATAATGTGTAGCAAAGTTTGTTTTCTAATGTGTGGGTACAGGTCAGATTAGAAACCATGTGAGCTGGGGAGCTAGGAGTGAGCATGGAATTGGGGATGGTTTAYAAATATGGAGACAAAGGGAGATCCAACATGTGAGAACCATGACAGCTGCAGGCTAAGTGGAGGGACACTCTGCCCCTCTAGATACTGAAGTATGTCCAGTATTTCCCAAGGCTGTAATTACAGCATAATACAACAATAGATGTCTGTAATGATTCTGTTATCAGCAAAAAATTGTGCTTAGTTCACTGCAAGAAAGCCAAGATCTGAGCAAAGTTCTCAGGACACAATGGTAAAGCCCCTCTGGCTTGCAGTGGAGAGTAGACATGGATCAGTACAATGTGGAAAGAAAATAAACACTAGTGTGGGTTTGGGTCATGCACTTTAGATAAGTTTCATTTTCTGTGTGATGTCTTTTGGTACTTTGTGTTTTTTTCTGCAATATATTTTACTCAAATAGTAAAATCTATAAATAGTACACAAAATTTTCACAGATAAATTTGCATATAAACAGTGGTTCAAGTGAGAAGGTTTTGATACCCTTGGTTTTTAGTGACAATGTAAAACACATCTTCATGTTGACCATGATCTTTTCCTCCTCCTCTCTTTCTTTCTTTTTTCTTTTTGTAAAATTGCATCCAAAGAGCACATTCTTGTTCAGTGAGCATTATTTAAGAGCAAATAAMCCCCTAACACATATGAAGCCAGACTGTTGTGATTTATTAATGAAGTGTTTTATTCTTTTCTGGCTGTAGCTTTCTGGAAGCTCAACCCCGACTTTTAATTTCCTTTTGCCTGTATTTTTGATCCAAATATCTACTATATATGTTCCAAATGAGCGTACTTCATAAAATCACCAAACTGCCATACAGAGAACCAGACCCACCAGCAAAATTTCATTTAAGTGAGGAAGAAGCTGTGACAAAGTACAGCTAAGCTTGAGATRGTGATATAGAAAGGGCAGTGCGTGAGACATCTCCATCTCCTCCCACCCAACCAGCATCAGTGGCCTCTGTCCTTTGCTCTACATTTGACACTTGGTCTCTTCCTCACCTAATCCAGCCTAGCCACACAACCCCACAGACCCARTTCTCCACACTAGCTTTTCGAAAAGGGCATGAGGATGACAGATAGGAATTAGAAATATTACTCTAGGACATCTCTGAGACCAGAATTGGGTTGGTAAACCTCAGGCACAGCTTTCCTTTGCAACTTCCAACACCATAAAAAGAGGAAGAAGCAGAAAGCGTAAATGCTTCTGTCTGGAGATAGGATACACCTGCTCTTAAAATTTCTTTATATATAAAAAAAGGATGTTTCCAAAATGAAACTCTGCAGGTTCCATGTTTTGGGGTGCAGCCCCTCTCAAACCAATCTTGCGCACAAATATAAACTGCAGACTACTGAAAAGCCCTCCCTGAAGGTATGGGCAGAAAGAAAGCATTCCTTAGAAATAAAAGAAGCTGCATCCCATCTAGCACATATGGAGTTCTCCTCACATGGAATCTGTTTCCCTAAACTCCATGAAGAAATTGCTATTTCTCTCCAGTTTCTGCTCAGGGATCAGGAGAAGCTAGAGRCTCTGTGTGAATTATCTCCATCATTGCAGGCTTCGTTATAGACTTATGTCATTCAGTGTTTRTATGACTTTTTATATAATCATTTCTCTGTAACTTATGAAAATTATTTTTGTTTCTAATTTTTAATGTAAGCAAAGGGGAGAGAGATTAACTGTGGAGAGTCCAWCTGGTCCCCCGCAGTGGATTGAATCTCTTAGGTGCTGCTCCATCCCTAGAACCCAGAGAAATCTGCACTCTCTGCCCAGCACCTGCCGGCTTCACGGTGTCTCCCACATTACCTGGGAAGACTTCCTTTTATATGAATCTTTAGCTGCTTTGAGTGCCCTCGGGTGCTATTTAAACTTTTCTGTTTTCTTCCTCAAAAGAATCAGGTTGGTCATGAAATTTAGCCTTTCTGAGAWGATTCAGAAGGTTGTGACACCTGGATTGGAACTGTTGTTTTTGGTCAGGTGAAGAACCTTAAAAATTAAAATTCTATATTATTTGTGGATTTAGATCCATGACCATTAACATCATATCTCTTTGTTGCCTGTATACTTTTTCAACAATCTTGCCCAAAGCACTATTTTTTAGATAGCTTTGTTGAGATATAATTCGCACACCATCCAATTCACCCATTAAAGGGTAAACGTCAATGGCTTTTAGTATATTTTAATATATTCACAAAGTTGTATATTCACCGCCAATCATTTATTAAATATTTTCATTATTCGAAAAACCCCTTCACCCAACCCTCCAGCTGTACAYAGCCACTAAGCTGCATTCTGTCCCTGTAGACCTGTCTGTGCTAAAACTATATAAAAGGAGTCATGCAGTATCTTTTTCTTTGTGGTTGTCTTCTTTCACTTGGTATAATGCTTTTAAATTTCATTCATGTTGCATCATGGATCAGTACTTCTTTTATTGCTTTTATTGCTGGATATACTACTGACCATAAGTCACTTGATGGGCATCTGGTTCATTTCCTCTTTTTGGCTATTGTGAGTAATGCTGCTATTAACATGTGGATGTGTTTTCACTTGAGTGTGTACCTAGGAATGAACTTGATACCACATGGTAACTCCATTTAAATGCCTGAAGATCTTTTTCCCAAATCGACTGGACCATCTACATTTCTGTCAGTGTGTGAGGGCTCCAGTTTCTTCACATCCGTGTCAGTGCTGGTTATCACCTGTCATTTGGTTATAGGCAGCCAACTCTTAAGTTAGTACCTCCTTACACTTTTGATTTGTATTTCTGTGGTGGCTAGAGATGCTGCACATCTTTTCATGTGCTCCTTGGACATTCCTCTTTGGAGAAGTGACTATTCAGATACTCAGTCCATTTTTTTAACTAGGGTATTTGTATTTTTCTAATCTTTTATTTTAGGCTAATTTTAGAAATAATATGGATGGCTACTGATCATAACTCTAGGCATATGGCCATTGGAAAATCCAAATGGATTGAACGAAGGCATACGAATAATACCTAATAGAATTTTTAGTATCATGTGGATTGTTGATCACTCTTTCTCCTCCCTCTTTCCTTAGGATCCCATTCCMCAGCTCTCAAGATTTTACAGAATGCTGTAAGTAATTGTCAAAGTTGTTTTTCAAGAAACAGAAAGGGTTGCAACTTCTTCCTACTAATAGAAACTTTCACAGTTGCATTCAATGCCTAACGTTGCGGAAACCGAAAGGTCCAATGATTCTGGAAATGGTGGACACAAATCTGAGAGGAAGTCTCCAGAAGAAAATCTACAAGGTGCTGTCAGATCTTTCTGCACAAGTGCCTCGGGAGCACCCTTGGGTCCCAGAGGAGATGGGCATTATCCATGGAGTTGTCCTGTGACTCATACTCGGGAGAAAATTTATGCCATCTGTTCAGACTATGCCTTTCTCAACCAGGCAACCTCAATCTATAAAACCCCCAATCCAGCCCGCTCTTCTTGCCTCCCTGATAGTACCTCGTTATCTTCTGGAAATAATTCATCAAGGTACATCGGTATCCCGACTAGTACATCAGAGATAATCTATAATGAAGACAATAGTTTGGAAAACTTATCCAACAGTCTGGGCAAGCTACCTCTCGCATGGGAAATCGATAAATCAGAATTTGACGGGGTGACTACAAATTTGAAACACAAATCAGGTAAGAAGGAATCCTGATGTTCATATGTGCAAACAATGAGAAAACCAACACTGTGTTTTGTTTAATCTTGTCATTAAACATGTTTTCCTTTTTAAAAAAAATTTTATTTGTTTTTTTGGTACTTGGGAACTCAGGGACACTTGGCCACTGAGTCACATCCCCAGCCCTATTTTGTATTTTAGATCTCAGTTGCTAAACACCTCGATTTTGCTGAGGTTAGCTTTGAACTCTCKATCTTCCTGACTCAGCCTCCCGAGTTGCTGGGATTATAAGTGTGTGCCTGTGCCTGGCATGTTTTCCTTTTATAACACTGACCAAGAAACATTGCTATCATCTTGTCTGTCATTGTGGTTAAAATAAAGTAACCTTGGACATAGGTCAGTTAGTTCATTCATGCGTTGCCAATGGAAATGCATTTTGCTTTGAATATCAAAAGAATATTTTAACAACAGGTATTACARATAAGTACACAGTAACTTAGACATGGTTAATGATGTAACTAGAATGATGCGATTATTATTTTGTAGTTTCACACAGACATGAAGTCATAGTTCCTAAACTAGAAAACATCTGGTTTTCTTTTCATTATATAATAAACCTTATATCTTTTGTTGTTAAAATGTTTTGAGTCCCCAGTGAGGTCTCCAGGTACCACTGAATAGGCTGTGTACTATATAACTTAGGAGGATGCTGTTCACTTATAGTGCAGTGCACATCTTTTCACAATCACAGCTGAGTGGTCCTGTGGTGGGTACTAATGCTTTTCAATCCTGAACTCATGGTAATATATGAATTTTGTGAGATACTGYTATCCTTATTTTATAGATGAAGAATTGGGCTTAGCAGGAACAAGTCCGTTGCTAAAAGTTGCACATTATCAGGAGGTAGAACTTGGATTTGTATTTGGCTTCCAGGCTCTTCTGAATTCCTGTTAGTTTGTGAAGCTATTAGGCCGGCCATCCTATCTAATACCACCATCTCCTCATCTCTGTTAAGGGCACGGTCTTCAGTGACAACTGCTCTTTACTCTTGTTGATGGACATTTTTCTTTTTGCCTGTTAAGTCTAACTAGGAATTCACCAGTTTTTCATCTTTTTGAACAGCCARTTTTTAGTTCGTTTATTTTCCCTGTTATATATTTTATTTCATCAATTTCTGATGTGTTGTCTCCTTTCTTCTCCTTACTTTGCTCTTCATTTTCTGACTTAAGATGGAAGCTTAGATCACAGATGGGAGACTTTCTGCCCTATGCATGTAATGCTTGGGGTTGTTCTCAAGTGCTGCTTTAGTTGCAGTCCACAAACTTTGATACCCTTTATTATTATTATTTAATTTAAAGTATTTTCTAATTTACTTTGCAGTTCTTTTTTAAGACATGCATTACTTAGACATGTGCTGTTTCACTTCCAGATATTTGTTTTTTTTTTTTTTTCCTAAATAGTGATTTCTAATGTAATACCATGGTGGACAGAAGACAATATGGTTTTGTGACTGTATTAATCAGGGTTCTCTAGATGAACAGAATCAACAGGAAGGATAATTATAAAAGGGGATTTATTAGATTGGCTTATGTGACCAGAAGCTGGATAGTCCACAATGGCTGTCTGCGGGCTGAAGAGATGGAAGAACCAGTAGCTGTGCAGTCCAAGAGGCTGAAGCCCCAGAACAGGAGGGTTCAACAGTGCTACCCTAGTATGAGACTGAAGGTTTCTGGAGAATCAGTGGCAGAGTCCGCTTTGGAAGCAGAGTCTGATACCTTCAGGTGATTGCAGTAGCAATTAAGAACCTCTTAAAGAAGAATTTGCTGTGCTACTGTTTCCTTGTTCTTCCAACTTTTATTCCATCCAAGCCATCATCCTATTGGATGGTGCTGCCCTCACTTAAGTAGGGTCTCCATTTCCCACATGCCAATGACTCTTAGACAGACCCTCATTGACATGCCAGTAAGTCTCTTAATCCTGGACATCTCTTAATCCAATCAAGTTGACAATTCAAATTAACCATTACAATGCCAACATATGACCTATCTTGGTGAATGAATGTACCATGTGCTCTTGAGAAAAAATGCACTCAGCAATTATTGGGTGTATCTATCAATATTAATTAGGTCAGTATTTGGATGTGTTTGCATCTTTTGTCTCTAATTCTTGTTTTATTCTGTCCATTGCTGAAAGGGGGTTGCTGGTAATCCCTAACAATGGTTGGGTCATCTTTTCACCATTGACTTTCTTTTAAAAATAATACTTTTTAAAGCGGCAGTAAACAGCAAATGACATTAAATTTACCGTTTTAGCCATTTTTTATGTGTACAATTCCGTGGCACTAAGTATGTTTATTATTGTCGGTGATTCCCTCTCTCCATCCCAGGTCTCTTTTCATCTTGCCAACCTGAAACTCAGTACCCACTAAAAATGTCTCCCTCTTTCCTCTTTCCTCAACACCTGGCACACCATTCCACTCTGTCTCTGAATCTGATGACTCTGGGAACAGCGTGTAAGTGCAGTGGTACAGTGTTTGTCTTTGGGRACTCTTATTTGTGGCCACCCTGCTCTCTTCTGCTTAATATTTACTTGGAATACCTTTTCCATTCTTCCCCTGTCAGCCAGTTTGTGTCTCTAATGAAGTGAATGGAGAACCTACAGTTAGATCTGCTTCCTTAAATCCATTCTTCCACTCTCTTTTTTTTTTTTTAAAGAGAGAATGA